TAATTATCCAAATGTCTGTATTTTAAATTCTTAGGTTTGTTTTTCATTTCATTTGTCGTATTGTTTTGTTTTTTTCTCTCTACTTTTTATTGTTTTTGGGCTACTTTTTTCCTTTTAACGTACTGCCTTTTCCAGCACAACAAGACAACGAGGGGAGATGCTATTAAAATTCCGTAATTTTTTAAAATCATCCTTTCGTTTCCAATGTACGAATACGTCAATTTACGGAACGTTGTACGACCGTCATTTTTCACGATTATTATACTTACAATTTTATTGTGCTCACATTATTATTAGCCTAGCGCGTGTATTTAATTTTTTTAAAACACCTTCACTTACATAAATTGTATGTATCGTGTACGCGTATCTGGCTATTACATATCGATATGTCGAAAGCGAATCGTATCTACGGACGGACGGATGTAGGAGCAGCAAGAGAGATGAATATATCTTACCTTATAATTCCGTTGACGAATGAAATTTCGGATTACACTAAGCTTACGATAATATAATTAATTTATTGAAATAACTTCGTTCAAACATTTATATTATCGGCGTTGTACATTATGCCATTGCGCTCATAATTGCTCAGAACTTGTAGAGATCTAAGTACCGGTTTGAAATTTTATTTTTTTATTTTTTTTTTGAACCAGTGTCGAAACACGCACTTAATACATTGTGAATATTTAAACATAAACGCTGTAATTATAGGTAAGTAGAAAATGTTAATGTTAGGCCAAATAATACTTATCGTTACCTCGATATCTTCAATGCATCTTGTTATCTATTTTTCTTTATTTGCTTTTAATGCGGCTAATGGCGGACAGCCCATACATTTTTTAATTTATAATTCAGAATGGTCCAACAACTGTTTGGGAAATAATTGAGAGGATAACGCCTATCGATTCCAGTCCCTACATAGTCTCAGCTACTCTTTAGGGTCGTCTCGTCTCCCACGATCACAAATCTCCGTAGACTTCTTGACAAAAAAAAAAAAAAAAAAAAAATCTTTTCGGCTATTTTAATATTCATCGTTGCTACTCCGAGAACTTTTGATAAATTTTTTGCGATTCATTGCACTACCCCTAACTATCTTCGATTCCGCTTTTTGCAGTCGTCATTTTCGAATTCTGTTACCCACCCGAGCGATAACGGCGAACTGCGTCACAGGTATCGTTACATAGTAAATTCTCGACAATGCCCGTTTTTTTGTCATCTAGACATTTTAAAATTCGCAATCGACAACATTCGACAAATTCTAAATATTACCGTTGACCGAAAGTGCACGCTACTACCATTTTGTCAAAGATAAGATAGTATTCGATATAACGCGCATCCGCAAGGCCACAGAAAACCGTGCGCTTCTTTAGATCCGCGAGGGCGCTCATAAAGACAATCGATACTTTCCCTCGGTGCTAGACGAATTTCTCCATTCTATCCTCGAATTCTCCGAGCAAAAGTTAACGATAACGAGCGGGTCGACGAACGAGGATCGATTTAATGCATCCGCCTCTACTAGTCTTTCGTCTACGAAATATTATGTTCCTGCTGCTGCTGCTGCTGCTGCTGCTGCATTGCGTGTGGTATTGCGCGTAGGTATAATATTGCGTGTAATGTTTCCTGCGGCGGTGGCTGGGGTATGAGGTCCCAGCACCAGCTCATAGTATTTAAAATAGTCTTTCGACTGAAATGAAGTCGAGTGCCGATAAAACTTCCCGTCCACGCTTAACAAACACGGATTTCTCTTGCCGAGCCAATGCGAGCCTCGTAAAACGGCAGTTAATGCACAAAATGTAAAATCATAGGTAACAAATCTGACCCTTTTTTGCCCGCTCAGGTTATGTCTCAAGCTGGAATGCGAATGTCCCCCTCGCCTGGTGCGACTGACGCCGCCGCCGCCGCCGCCGCCGCCGTCGCCGTTGCCGTTGCCGTTGCCGTTGCCGTTGCCGTTGCCGTTGCCGTTGCCGTTGCCGTTGCCGTTGCCGTTGCCGTTGCCGTTGCCGTTGCCGTTGCCGTTGCCGTTGCCGTTGCCGTTGCCGTTGCCGTTGCCGTTGCCGTTGCCGTTGCCGTTGCCGTTGCCGTTGCCGTTGCCGTTGCCGTTGCCGTTGCCGTTGCCGTTGCCGTTGCCGTTGCCGTTGCCGTTGCCGTTGCCGTTGCCGTTGCCGTTGCCGTTGCCGTTGCCGTTGCCGTTGCCGTTGCCGTTGCCGTTGCCGTTGCCGTTGCCGTTGCCGTTGCCGTTGCCGTTGCCGTTGCCGTTGCCGTTGCCGTTGCCGTTGCCGTTGCCGTTGCCGTTGCCGTTGCCGTTGCCGTTGCCGTTGCCGTTGCCGTTGCCGTTGCCGTTGCCGTTGCCGTTGCCGTTGCCGTTGCCGTTGCCGTTGCCGTTGCCGTTGCCGTTGCCGTTGCCGTTGCCGTTGCCGTTGCCGTTGCCGTTGCCGTTGCCGTTGCCGTTGCCGTTGCCGTTGCCGTTGCCGTTGCCGTTGCCGTTGCCGTCCCCACCCCTACCTCTACCTCCTCCTCCCACGCCGTGATACCTCCAGTTGGCCTCCCTATCGCCCGCCCTCCCCCACCCCCACCCCCACCCATCCACCGCGCTCCACGAGTCGCACTCTCGCGGACTTTTCACCCGGTTCTTTAACGTCTCGTGAGAGACTTTGGTTTCCTCCGGCTTAATGACGACGACTCCAGCAGTTTGCGGCTTACGCGATTATTTCCGCACTTTGACTCTCTATGCGAATACCGCACGAGATGTATAAACGGCCGCGAGCGAAGGAGGGAAAAGACGACCGGAGACAAATTTCCACAAAGGGTCCACCTCACCACCACCCCCACCTCACACCCAACCCCATCGCCCCACACTCACCAAGTTCCCAGGAAATTGATATGCCGAGCATGATCTTCGCTACGCTCCTTCGCCTTCCTCCACTAGCGTACGCCGACCGATTACTACACTTTGCCAATTTGCAAAACAAAAAAATCATAATATTAATAATTTAAAATAGATTTTCTCGCGTTAAACGGCTTCGCGGAACTTGCATTACGCTTCAACGCCTGTAAATCCTTACGACTGCCCAGTACTTAACGTTTCGAATTAAAAAAAAAAAAAAAAAAAAAAAAAAAAAAAAAATATAAAACATGAGATATTACAGGCCTTAAGAGAAAGAGATATTTATTTTATTTTGCGAAATAATACAAGCGGCATTCGTTATCGCTACTGCGATTTTTCACAACTGCTACAGCTATTTATTTTACATTGAATTACTCGAATTACGTTTGCCCCCTTATCACACAATGAATTTATCGTGCTACAATTAACTAGTTTAATTATCATTTCATAAAAAAAAAAATTAATTTCTTACACAACCTTTACATAATAGAAAGCTTATATCCAACTTGTATATCTGGTTACAGAAAAGTTAACAAAAAAATCATTAAACTCGTTGATAATATATCCTATCATTGGATAATTATAAATTCTTAAAGGTAATTATTGTAACGTCGATAAACATTGATGTAAAATAGTTTTTAATGTTTTGATATAACGTGCTATTGTGCACTGAGAGTTTTTATAATTATTCCTTTTTCTATTTGGTAATGCGCCGTCTAGGATCGACGAGAAAACGGCAAAAGTACGGAGAGAAAAAAATAATAATAATAACGATATGGTCAGAAGAACCTTTATTCATAAATCGAATAAAACTATTCAAATTCAGCTTTAAATAATTTTTCGAATTGTCGCAAGATGATATTGAAATGATAATAAGTGTAATTATATTAAACGAAATTCGCCAAGTTAATATTATCTTCTCTTGTAATTGGATAAAATAGATAATTAAAAGTAAGAAATTAAGGTAAAAAAATGTCCGCGGTCATTCTATCGGCATAACAATAGAAAAATAAAACTGAATAATATCATTAGAAAGAAGTTTACGGGGGAACATGGCAAATTAAATGATTAAAAACTTTAAAGTAAAATGGCAGTGGGCGCACATACATATACACATTTTTATTAAGAGTCTATGTATTATCTCGAGGCAAAATAATAATTAACAATATTGATAAGAATAAGCATAGCCAGGCAATAAATTCAAAAATTCGAGCACCTCATGTATAGTCGAGTATACATAAATTCAATACACATCATCGTTTAAATAATAAAAGCAAAGCAAGGAATAAGAGAAGTTGGCTAACCCATTAATTACTGTACTTACTCTTCGCAAACCGCGCGCACAAAGACTTAAGCGGAAGTCCTAACCATTTCACCTGCTCGTCGACTATATACACGCACACGTAGTCCGGAGACTCACTTTGCTTCCGTTTTCTTCGGGTGCTTGATAAAGCAAGAAAAGCGACAAAAAAGACTAGCGACGCATACATATTTACGCGCGCGCGCGCCTTATACATTACGGACTTTTTATCCAAATGCACGTGACAAACAAACACTCTGTGTAATTGCAAAATACGTCACCCCACGCGATATACTGTCTACTCTCTCTCTCTCTCTCTCTCTCTCTCTCTCTCTCTCTCTCTGTAGAAGGAAAAATTGTATGCACTGAGAGAGAGAGAGAGAGAGAGAGAGAGAGAGAGAGAGACATTCGAGACTGTAGCCACACGTTGATTATCTTCACGATAATTCCTTCGTTTCAACTGTGATGTCTTTTTCTTTCCTACATTAGTATTAGGTATCAAAAAGAAAAGAAAAAAAGTAGACAGTTTATTATCAATTACAATTACATTGAAAATTATTACAACTAGTAATATTATTGTTATAGATATTTATTTCCAATACAAGTAACGAGAGACACAAGGTTTATCTACGAAACCTGCAGTGTTCATATAATATTAAAAACATAATGTTAAAAAATATAAATTATTAAATTTAATGAGAAGGACAATTCTCATAATGGTATAAGATAATACGTGGCTTGACTTTTTTTTTTCTTTTTTTTTTCTTTTTTTTTACTTCACCAATCTTCATATTTAGTTCAGCTTTATTTCATTTCCTAGACATAAAATTCCATCTTAGAGGAAATTTCTTGGTGTGCAGCTTCATTCTTCCACATTTCCAAGCACTATAAGTATGTTTTTAATATGTCAGTGAGAGGTTAATTTTTTCTCTCTCTCTCTCTCTTTATTTCTTTGCAAAAAAAAAAAAAAAAAAAAAAAAAAAAAAAAAAAAAAAAGGATGAAAAAGAAAAGGAAAAATCAATTATGTAAGGCTACTATTTACCGCTTCCATATCTGGCCCGATATCCTTGATCTGCTTCTCATGTGTAATTTTTAGTTTCTCCTTTTCGCGGCCATGTTTTATACCCATGGTTTTACGCTCGTCCATGAATTTCTTAATATTGTTTGCCTTCTTTTCTTTAAGCCTCCTATCTTTGTCACCCTTTGTCTTCAACGCTTTGTCGTTCATCACTTCCTTAGCCGTTTCGGCAGACACTTTGGCTTGATTGGCATTCATGTCTTTAATGTCCCTTTAAAAGATAATCAAACTTCTCATGTGGCTAATTTATCGCTTTAGAAGAAAAGAAAAATGTTGAATAATTATATAACGCTAGCGAATAAATTTTATAATTCAATAAGAAAAATGAATTATCGTTACGTTACATACACATTTTAATACACCACAACAATTCCTATTTCGCTTTTAATTTCCCTTTTCTCCTATTTCTCTTTAAAGTCATGTATAAGCGCGCACTCCTGCTCTCGTTATTATATAAATTGACAGACGTCGAGCGTAGAGGAAAAAATCACGGTTATGCTGAGTAGGTGTTTAAGCGGGGGAGAGGGGCAGGATATTAAAACAATCGACTTAATCATTTAACATGATGGGAAATGTTTCTCTAGGCCATAAATATTGGATCCGAAGAAGCGATCGGCAGACTAAACTAATCGAGGCTCGCCACATTGAAAAACTAACTTACTTTTCATGCTTAACTTCCAACAATTTAACCTGCTGCGCTTGAACGGTTGGGATGCAATTTTTAATCTCCTCACGCGAAGCTTCCAATTGACTTTTCTGAAGTTCCCACTCCTCTTTTCGCTGTTTCTCCATCATCTGCGTCCATTGAGTCGTTTGCTCGCTAATGAGTTTCTTCACGTTGCCATCGTTAATAAGCGCACTTTTACTGTAGAGTGTAAATTGTTGTTGTTGTTGTTGTTGTTGTTGTTGTTGTTGTTGTTGTTGTTGTTGTTATCGTTGATGTTTTTTGTTGATTTTTTTTGTTACAATTAGTCAAAAGGAAGAGAAAGGTACGACCAACTAAATTACATCAGAACGTAAATTTTGCTATAAACTTACTCTTTTCCTTTTGCCAGCTTCTCGATAGCGGTGCAGTGATTCTTCTGCATCGTTTGCCGGTCCTTCATGTGCTTCTTGCGTAAAGTATCCAATTCTTTGTTTACTTTTTTACTGAGTTTGAAGGCTTTCTCTTTTCTTAGATTCTCGTAGTTACATGGCGGTAGCTTAAATTCCTCTAAAATTCAATATTTATAGCGATAGTTTCCCAACTTTATCAACGCTTATGACGACTCGATTTCAATCAATTTCAACTCTCATCTGATCATTTCAACTTTATAATTCAATTTGTAGACGTTAAAAATAATAATAATAATAATAATAATAATAATAATAATAATAATAATAATAATAATAATAATAATAATAATAATAATAATAATAATAATAACTAACTAACTAACTAACTACAATCTTTTCATAATGTTAAATAATTAAATAACTCTTTGTACTTTTATGCCATGGTATTCAATGAAATGTAATTATTATATATGAATATCGATGTTCAATAATAATTAATACGCATAATAAAAAGCTCAAAGTATTATCTTTCAAATCTACATCCAATAAATAATCGATATAGATTAATTAAGTAAATTAAATGATGTCGGATAGAGACTTTATTTCAAGATTTCAAGATAATCGTAAGCTGCAATCGATGAAGCAAATATAGGAAGTTATAATAATAATAATAATAATAATAATAATAATAATACTCGCGTTGACTGTCAAAATTTTGAAGTAATTATTTAACAATGCAAAACCATTGAAGATTATTGACTATTGAAAAAATAACGAAATTGACATCAAGTTGTATTGTGACATTGATATCAAGTTAAAACGTGGTAAATTTTCATTTTCACACGGGTTTGAATAACTGAAGTTCTGAATAATTACGAAAATCGTCGGATATCCGTAGTCGAGTACCAGTACAGCTAAGCGCTACCTTAACGCTCGATCATAATACTTCTCATAAAATGTCTTTCTTATTTACTGAAACTCAAAATTACCCATACGGTTCTCTGAAATTATACAGTTAGCGCTAAGCACAAAAGCCTTAATGTCAGAAAAATAAAATAAATAATTATAAATGTATATATACATACATATATATTTCTTTGAGATTTATTAATTATAAAAAAAAAAAAAAAAAAAAAAAAAAAATTAAAAAAAAAAAAAAAAAAAAAAAAAAAAAAATCTAAAGAAGCAAAAACAACAACAACAACAACACCAACAACAACGACGACGAACAACAAACAATACAGAGAAAACTCATAATTGCTTATAATTTAATATTGTATTCGAATGTACCAATGTGCTCATTATTACAAATGAAAAGAAGAAGAAGAAGAAGAATATGGAGAAGAAGATGATGATGATGATGATGATGATGAAACACTTTTGTAGTTTTAGTGTGATATTATTGTGATTAATATGATCATCTCCGGCATCATCCCTTTTAGTTCGGTTATTACTTTAATATAGATACAGTCGGATCCCAAGTTCGGCAAAAAGATGACGACACAAGAGCTTTTCGCTTAATTTCGCTCCGGCCCTTAATTAATTAATAACGAAATTAAACGGCAATGCTCGTTAATGACGTAAAGAGTAAGTGAGTGTAAATGGAAATTCAAAAGTCGGCGGAGACGTCGCTCCCATCTAAGTAAACGAAGCCCCAATTTATTGAACCTAATGCTGGGCGACGAGTCGCACCTATCGCCCACATCCGGTACAATAAATTCGCGCGCAAAAAGCCGACTAGCGATCTGAAAGGTGCGCGCGCATCAACGTCGGCCGAGCAAAGTCGCCGTCCCGAAAAATGTTGCGTTCCCGAGAACATCCCGTAAGTACGCACGCGCCTCTTGGCTAATTAACAATACTCCCGAGTAATGAGTACTTAATGCAACGAACAAAAAAAGAAACGGATGGATGGATGCTGGATCGTGGATTGTGGATGGGAGGGGAACGGGGACGGCGACGGCGACGGCGACGGGGGGGGGGGGGGGGGGGGGGGGGGGGTTAAAGAGCGGGATCTCGCGTGCGCGCTCCAAGTGTACCTCGCTTTTTTCTCTCCTCTTCCTCTTTCTTCTTGGCCTCAGCCTTCGCGTCGGTCTGCTCGATACCAAGCCCCTTCATGGCCTCATCTCGTTTTTCTGCTCCCTTAGTGAATGCTCCCGGATCCGACAGCATCGCCATGAAATCTGAAAGCACAAACACCTTGGTAAACGCCGAGAATGTCCCTTAGAACACACTAACCCACCCACCCACTAATCACCGTCACCGCCACCACGTGCCCATCACGTAGCTCAATATGACCCTTGCACATGCGGCTAAACCTAATCCTTTTGGCGAATAATTAATATCGAAAGCCAAAAAACTTAGATACGGGCTAATTCGATATATATCGAGGTTATATATATATATATATATATATATATATATATATATATATAATATATATATATATATATAATAATAATAATAATAATAATAATAGTATAGTTGGTCGGGGTTGCGGGGGGTGCAAAAGTGGTTCGCGATTCGACATAGTTCGCTCGGAGCGCTATTAACGCTGAGCATTTAACGGGGCTTAGTGAAAGTCGCCCGAGGTTCCGTGAAAAGGATAACGCGCTCGTCTATCGGCGCTCTTTATGAAATGTGACCGAGCCCGGGAAGATGCTCTGTGGCCCGTGGGGGCGCTTAAATGTTAGTTCCTTGTGAAAGCGACGCGCGCGATAACACAGTCGTCCGGTCTTTTAACCGATTCGGCGCAGGATAATTGGAGGAAACGGGCGTACCTCCGAAGCCATCGGGCACGTAAATCGACAGCTCGATGTTGCAGAAGAGCATGGGTAGGGCCATCGGGAAGTTGGCCTCGGTCTTGAGGGATATGTGCCTGTAGCCGGCCTGCAGCCCGTCCAGGGGGAGAATCCTTTGACCGAGCAATTTTCCGCTTTCCTCGTAGACCCCTGCGAGAGTTGTGTTACGATGAGGATACGATGGTGGCGAATTGAGTGAGGGAGGGGAGGGGAGGGGAGGATGAGCGATGGTGAATGATAGAGGGGGAGCGTATTGTGTGCGTGCGCGTGCGTGTGTGCGTGTGCGTAGGGAGGGATTAGCGGGGTATTAGTCGATGACATAAAGAGATTGCAAGTGAGTAGGGTATGTTGATGACGCTGGCAGAAAGATGAGCTGCGACGATTATTACCGATTCGTAGCACCGCCAGGTCCGGTAGCACGACCTTACGGAAGACAAAGGGTTCCTCGTTGTAGACGGGATTTAAGCCGTTGCCCGGAACCATTCGCGTGCGGAATTCCTTTTTAATGGTGTCGGCTGGTAGACCGTACATGTCCACTTCCACGTACGTCCCAACCTTCTTGTCGGATAAGAATTGACCGGCTATCACCTGTACCAGATTACAAAAGCTTTATCGATTGTCACGCAGCGCTATTGCGCGTTGCTTTATTTCGCAGTCTGTGCGCCACTTTTGTATTATTCCGTAGGCTCGGATTGTCGAGTAAGAATAAGCGTTCCGAGTATCGGATATCTAAACGGCACTCCTTCGTGAATAATTGCACGGACTATCTCGACTTATTGAACTGGAGTGATAAGCTGATTTGAATTTATAATGTTAAGAAACTTGATTTTTATTATTATGTGTACATAGGCGGAGGAATGTATCGCTCGTCGGTATTTGTTGACTTTTTTATCAGCCACGGAAAAGCTTCGTGTAAATTTATTTATAAAAGTTAATAAAATCAGAAGCTTGGTCGATTTAATTTTTCATTTTCGGAAAATGAAGAGAAAGAAAACAAGAGAAAATAAAATTAAAAGTACCAAAAAGAAAGAATATTAGGAGAAAAGAAAACCAACAACAAGCAAAATAAATTAACCTCTCTATTTAATATTGCAATACTTAAAAATAAACGATAATTTACCAAAGCATACGTCTACGTATAGATATAGGGAAAATAGTTCCAACCTAATTGAAAATTACTTTTTGTGTGTGTGTGTGTGTGTGTGTGTGTGTGCGTGTGCGTGCGCGCGCGTGTGTGTGTGTGTGTGAAAATTAATTACATAAGTTTATTATAAAATTTTATTCCTGGCCACATCGGAATATCTTTTAAGCGCATATTTCTCTTAATAGATATATCCGAATGCATATATTATTGAAAAGTAAGAGTATACAGGTTACTTATCATCACATATAATACTCATAATCCATTTCATAACGTTTAATCCATTTACAAAAGAGATGCTATTACTTTCTTTCATATTCTCGAATTTCTTTTTCTTCTTTTTCTTTTCTTTTTTTTTTTTTTTTTTTTTTTTTTTTTTTTTTTTTTGGAGCGATAGTATTATTTATAGTACTCATCTTTTTCTATAATATATATATATATATATATATATATATGAAATCGATGAATTTGATCTTGTCGTATAGCGTCGTATAAGCACATAAAATGTACAATATTTTTAATAGAGATATAAAAAGAAAAAAGTCGATTGAAATGATTTAATTGATAGATGCGTCAGGAGAATTGGCAAGTCGATCTTTGTGATTAAATAACTATGAATTGTTACATTGGAACGGTCGAGGAGTCTCGAATAAATTGAAATGCATTTGTAGGAATAATGTTGGTGTGTGAAAAAAATGATTGAAGGCGTGCCGTCGCAAGATATATATATATATATATATATAGAGATAGAGAGATATAGAGATAGAGATATAGAGATAGAGATAGAGATAGAGAGAGAGAGAGAGAGAGAGGGAGAGACGAAAGACGGAAAAAAGTAAGATGATTGTGATCGGTGTGGGGAGGCAAAGCAACAGAAAGTTCTAGCACCGGGAAAGAGGTGCGCAGAAACATACCCGAACGGAGCACGAGGCCGTAATGACGCCATCCACACCTTCGGAGAAGGGGTCAAAAGTTCGATCGGGTCTCCGCATGAAATCAGGCTTCAGCAAGTATCCAGTTGTGTTGTTGTACTCGAACTTTCCTTGGTTAAGTTGCATCGGCAAATCCGGAGTCTGAAAGTTCAGCGCCACCATCTGACAACCAGCGTTCCAGAATACCTGCACACTCGTTCAGATTCGATTAGGAAAAATGGCATTTCGCTGCTCACCTCGGCGCGGCTATATACGTATAATCGAATCACTTGTCGTCTGGGGCGCGGCGCCGTGGCCCATCGACCCCGAACCAGAGGACGTCGAACTCCGATAATTAGTTATAATGATTACCGATACCCACGGCGCGTACTACGCCAGCCGACAATTACATCACATTGGCTACGTCTACTCGGCCATTATGCCACGATTGCCGAGCTTAATTTTTTCCCTCGACACTCCCTGACCCTAGTCACCGATCGCCACATGCGTTCCCCATCCCTAGCGCGACGCTTAACGATCAGCGGCATCGAATCCTCACCTGGGGCATGTAATTGGACGAGTCGACTCGTGTTCCCTTCGGATAGATTCTGCTCATCTGGCGCTTGTTGTAATTGACGAATTCGACGCCCGACGTTTTCAGATAATTTAGAGCGGAATTCTCAGCGAACGATGACATATTGTGATGGATGTTCTTCTCTGGAAGAAAAGCGACGAGGGCATAATGCTTAATGCAGCACTTGCGTGCGTAAGGCTGCGTTAGCCAAAAGAAAAAAAGACAATGGAATGAAAGAAATGACGAGTGAGAAGGGCCACTATTAGGCCAGGCATTAAGAATTTTATTAATTTTATTAATAATTTTGTATAAACGACCGGCAGAAATCAACGACTCGACGGCTCGACGGAATCGACGACTAGACCTTATCGCGCATGAAAAATTATTGAAAAAATTTATTGCTGCTCGTAGGTGAAGGAAGTCGAGGCACGAGGCTCTACTCTACGGTCACGCGTTCGTCCTTGCGCCTCATCAAATCATGCAAATCCAATATTAATTCTCGCGGTAAGGATTATTAAGGAGGACGGCGTGATCGCGTTACGGAAAATCTTATTTGGTTTCCCACAGTCGGAGCAGTTGCAGCACATGAGCCGAGTGACCTCCGAGAAAAGCTATTCTTAGATCGTAAACTAATCGAACGACCAAAGGATATTTTCCGCTCGTTTCCTCCTCCAAAATATCCTCCGACAGCATTCCTTTGGCCCCGCCCATCACGAAGAGGACGATTCCCACTGTATCCCACCGCAAGAAAGACGATCCTCCGGACGCCAATGGAATCATTTTTCCCTATTATGTGCGCGATGATGCATAGAGGTTAAGTCGCCGATGAATGGGAAGGAGGCGGCTGTCCTTACTCTCGGCAACCTCCCAGCTCTGGAATTTCACGGGCTGGGCGTAATTGATCATGGAGGAGAGGAGCGGATGGCAGCTCGTCGCGCTCCCGGTGTAGACGGGCGCTGCGGAAGCATCGCCCTCGGCTCCAGGCTCACCAGGTGGCGCGTCTCCGGCCGGTGCCGCTTCCTGGGGACAGAATTTTGCCCAAGATTTCATCGACCTGATCGCGAGGGTAGCGACGATTCGCCCGCTTTTTTTCCATTCCCACTGGGCCCAAGGGCCGACGAGGAGACGAGACTTTCTCGGCCCATTCACTATCGATGAATTACCGGGGCTTTTGCAATGGCTGCTGAAGTAAGATCGAACCAACGGAGGTGATGATAGTAAAGATAAAGATGGGCGTTATTAATGATAAGGCCCGTGGCATTGCTTATTCGAGATAATCGTTTTGAAATCAACGAGCACGGGATATTACGCTATTGTTGCACCTGCTATTCTATTAATTTTCTTTCTCCAGCAATTTTGTAATTTTCAAAATAATTGCCATATAATTAATAATTGCTTAGCTCAAAAGTTATTTCGACGCAAGCAGCGGTAATTCATCCACGGCTTCATATACTAATTAGATTACGAATTCCTGTCCATACGATTATAACGTGCGTACTGATTTATTACGTAAATCTAAATTTCAACTATTTTATCGATTACAAATACGCGTACGATCGTAGGATATTGATATTTGCACGATATAAAGGTATTTTCAAGAATTATGACAAGGTAGTGAGGCTCGATACAAAATACTCTTTTCATAAAGTGCGCCCGAAGAAATTTTTGTCGACCCAACAACGACAATCGTCGGCCAACACACGTTATTTGAAATATCTTTGACGATTCTTTTTTCTTCATCTTCATCTTCTTCTTCTTCTTCTTCTTCTTCTTCTTCTTCTTCTTTTTTCTTCCCATTCTTTCTCTCCTTTTTTTACACTTACGAGAAATTTATTTCTACCGCACGCGCGCACACGCACGCACACAACATATTTTTTTTTTTTTTTTGTTGGTTTATTGTCGCGTGTACATCTATTCATTACCCATGTCATCTTCGAATGAATTATTGAGTATCAAAAAGAAGATTCTCCCTTAAGGTCAGAAGATTGTCACGAGATCTTCCTATTATTCACACACGCGCACACATCTTAGTAAGACACTCTATCTTGGAACCATTTAAAAAGGATTATCTACTCGACGTACATAGTGTGCGCGTATGTAATGTATTCGATTGAATCTGATGGAGGAAGTTATGGGACGATATGGGAAAATGATTTCTTAAATAATATTGGGAAATAACAAGATTGAAAAGCTTTAAGATTCCATTATAATTTTATCGCTAATGAGATTTTGCGTATTTTTTGTCATTTCATACGCCGCGACCTGGACGATATTTCGTGAAAAAACAAAACGACAAATATATTACTCGATCGAACGATTTTCAACATTATCAGTTATAAGCTTAGAGTGCCGATCAGCTCTTGTCGACTCGAGTCTTCACTATTTGTCATAAAAAGTTGTTTTAAGATTTATTCGGTATTTCGACGTGAGCTTGAGCTATCGTTGTGATTTACGATCGGAAAGGCCGTCGATCGGCAATATTAAACAAAATTATCCTTACCGAGGTGGAAAAAAAAATAAAAAGAAAGAATGAAAGAAATGAAAGAAAGAATAGATGAGCCGCATAAAGGGAGGCACACAGTGGGAGAGGTGCCGATGTCGTTAAGATTGCCGTAAAGGCAGACGCGAAGGAGCCGAGCGAGCATTATGTGGGAGAAGATGGAGGGCTTTTCATTCCTTGGCGATTCGATACTTTTCCGGAAAAATATCAGAAACCCTACCTTCGGGGCCTCGGGGGTGGCTCCGGCGGCGGCGGCGGCGGCGGCGGCGGCGGCAGGTGGTGGCGCGGCCGCGCTCGCATCCTCGACCACATCGTCTTTAGCTTCGAACTTGCCGGATAAGAAGAGCTCAAGCTCGACCTTTTCAACTTCAGGCTTGAGCCGCTTGTTCTTTATGAGTATCTTGTTCTTCATAGAGCTCGGTGGTGGCAACGGATGTCCCTCGACGTACAGCTTTTGCAACACACGACCATTTATAAACGTCAAGGTTGAATAGAATTGGCGGATTAGCGTAGTCGCTCGTTATGATTTTTCCATGGTGAACGTTTATTACGGTACACACGTATATTGAATTGATTACGTGCGATAATAGAATCGATGATGATACTTGGGCGCGCGCAGTGTAAAATGCGTAAAATGCAGGCGTATTGCTTCGGTGATTCAATCGGCCGAGTGGACCATTCGATTTAAAAAAGAAACTTAATTTTCTCATAATTGCCCGAGGCCTTTTCATTTGATATTTACGCAAATGGCAGCGGACATCGTTCGAATGAACTCGCGTACTTGCCGCCTAAGTGGCATCGGCTTCACGAGCACCGCGTCTTATTTCCCAGATACGTACATATTTAAGGCCCCTTAGCGGGAAAAATGCAAGCTAATACAAAGGCATCGCGAACGGGAACATTCCTGCCTCGTATTCTTGGACGAGCGCAATTAAAAATATTCCAGTGAGATTGAGGACAAAATTCCTTTCTAGTTTTTATCGTCGGCTCGACTCACTCTCGACTTTTGCTCTCGGAAACGTGTTTTCATATTCGTTTCGCGTTTATCTCCGGCCGCTAACGTACACGGGCGCGCAGACACGCGCGCTCACACGCGCTCACACTACCTGGCCCCCATCCACCGACGCACCTCGGTCGCGGCTCGCATTGCCGTTTGGGCCCGAGTTTGTGACAACAAGTGCACAAGTCATTCGATATACCGGATAATCCGGAAGGGCTTCCTTCAGCAGCAGCTCGCCGAAAATCTCGTCAAAGTACTTGGCCATTTTGTATTGATTTGACATGCAGAGATGGTTCTCGATACTGAGAATAACCGGATACTCCGAGGTTACGAAGGCACAATCTCTTATGGCCATCAGGGCGTCCTTGAACAAGATATCGGTGCACATGGCTTTTCCATGGGTTATTATTATTTCGTCATCCGGCGTTTTTCCGTCCCAGCAGTCGAGTTCAACGCACCTGTGGAGTTCGTTACGGCGCCATTAATTTCACCGAAAAAGGGCATGAAAATCTTTATAAGATTACAGCGAGTTTCGTAATAAGTTCGGCCGCGTGTAAGGCAAGAGACCAGTATTAAAATTTTCATAATTGCGAGAAAATGTCGGCGAACAATTACCTGCATCCAGCGAGGAGCGTTTGTCGGTACATTTCCACGCAACTTTTTGCCCCGATTTGCTTACCGCTCAGATACGTGTTATGGCTCGAATTTATGTAATAATGAGAAAGCGGCTGGTCCATGTCCATCCATTCCTCGAGCTTATCCAAAAACACCGGGGCATTCTCGTCGGACATTAAATATCGAATGAAGCCGTCCTTGGACAATTTTTCTGAAATAAGAATTACTCATCTTAATCTTCGTGCATTCACGGGCGATTAATCCCTTATCGCTTATCGCCCACGAGATGATAATTAATCATGTTGGCATCATACTCGCGCTTTTCGTTCCCTCATCCCGCTCATAGTCGTTAATTATTTCCGTGCACCTCTTTTCGTCGTACAGAGGGTACAATATTTCATTGAGCCTCGGATCTCTCTGTTTCTCGTTCATAAATTGCACCAACTGTTCTAGAGTTATCGTCTCGGCTCGCCCCTTCGTTCTGCAAATGTTTCGTACAAATAACATAATAGAAAAATCCTAAACAGCATCTTTTATTAGTTTCGTTATTCCATTTGTCCACTCCATTTATTATTCATTATACTCACATTGATCCGAAAAGTTCCTCTATATCGTTTCTAGGGCAAATCTTATGATACAGGGCGTAAAACTTTTCGAAAGTAAAGGCGCTCGGCTCAATTTTGTCGTTCTTAAAACAATGAAAACGCACTCTTTAACATACGTCATTTTAAATAATAGCCTAAGCTCATTTATTAATATTATTATTATTATTATTTAACTCCGTTATTTTTTTTTTATTTTTATTTATTTTTTTTTTTTAATAATCAACATACTTTGCCATCGGGTAATCCAAGCTCCTTTAAGCCCTGGTACACGAGCTTTTCCGTCTTCCCTGAAGCAAAAGTCTTTGTTATAACTTTGACTGGAACCTTGCCTTTCGGATCAACTTGAAAGCTTAACTTCATCCAACTGCAATGCAAAATACAAAAAGTTCGTACATTCTGGGAGTAATCGAGTACTTAATATATTAATAATTGTAGCCATACTGTTTCATTAGCTGAGTTGTAGGACAAACGTTGCTCGCTCTTGTATTGTGTGTGATATAACGCAATCCAGCCTGCCATTCCTTCCAATTTCCAATATGATCAAATTTTATATATATATATATATATATACATACAGTGTGTGTATACGTTCATACAACAAGATAAGTAAAAAAAAGAAAAAGAAAAAATGGGTAAGCGAAAAAAACAATTTTATATTTATTATACATAATTAATTAAACGTGTACTTAAGATTACATGTCCTTTACTTATAAATTATATCATAAATATAATATGCAATAATACAATATCAATAATAACATTTTTTTTTTTTCGATTATTACATTTTGCGGTGATATGGCACTATTGTGGTTAAATAAACTCGATGAGTCTTCGAGGCGATATGAATAATGATAGGACATTTATCGTTGGAAAATTTAAATCTAAATCTATTTATTTTCCAATGATTTGACTTTTGAAATTGAAATACTCTAAAGGGAAGAGAATACCTGGTGACCTAAATTAATACCTTTGCAGTTTTTGCATCTGGACAAACAAGGTGTTGGTAGCTAATATTCGTGTAATCTATGCCCGAACAAACTGTTATGCTCTTTTCATCTATTTGATCTGGAGTTCCATGTTTACTTAGTTTATTAATTAATTTGGGATCCTAAAAAGCAAAAATTTTATAGAAATACGAGGAAAGTTCAACTTTCACTGACTATACATTAAGTTTAATTAGTTAAACGAACTTTCGGTGATCCACCATAACGAATGTCGCTCACTTGCGCAAGTTCTATTACATCTCCGTCCTGCATGGAAAATAATTATTATACATACTTATATAATTAAAATGTTCTAAATATATTAGAAATAGCTTCTTCCATCTCGCGCCTCCCCCCCACTCTCTTGTAAAAAGTTTGAAATAAAATTCTTGAATTGTGTTTTAGCTACTTTTTAAAATTGACATCCTTGAAAATACGTACTAAAGTGAAATCATGATATTCAAGATTCGACAAATTTAATTAATTTCTCAAATTAATCAAAATAAATATCCTGCCTTGAGCGACTTCGTTTCATTCTGTCATTTCATTCTAAATAACTGTAATCGAATAAGCTTTTCTTTCAAATTCCAAAAAGAAAAAAGAAAAAAAAAGAAGAAAAAAGAAAGACAAACCACATCCACCGTACGTCCTACTACATCGATTGGCATTCGTTTAGCGTAATTAAGAAATAGCTAAATCGATCGATCATTGATATACGCGACATAAATAATTTCAATATATTATTAGCAAATATTACCCATAAGCACGGACATTTTTAATTGAGCCAGCGACTGGCGATACTATAAATGCGAAAAATTAAATTACAAAGACTCGTGCGACGACGAAGCCGTAATTCGTACCTTTCCATCGCTCTTCCAATAAAGAAAGAAACCGTACGTATCAACTTTAAATAAACAGTTGGCCTCCATCTCCGTGTTTTCCTTCTCCTCGACCCATCTATCAAAGACACTGCCATTTAATAACATGGCTGGCACCTCCCTCTGCCAATTGAATTCGAATTTTTTCGTCATTTTGCAGGAAGCGGAACAACTCACGGGCCACGCCTCTCGCAAGCTCCACGATCCGAAGCTTAGAGTCCGCCGACTGACAGCTCGCGTCTATTACCACCTACGCGCTTGCATTACACTCCCTTACCGTTTCGTTTCTCTTGGTCGGCCAAACTCGATTAACGTAATCCAATTTCCCCAGATTTGAGTCGCCGCGACCCACATGTGACGCGCGGTGAGTCCAATCCAAGGTTCTCCGCTGCTTTCGTAATATATGCCTCGAGCACGTGATTTCGGCGCGTAAATCCTTGATTATGTAGAAAATCCTTTGATAAATCGATAGTCAAGGAATGCC